ACGGGGGTGGGGTGAGCCCCCCAATGTGACCCCCCAAAAAAAGGCACCGACCTGCAGAGTGGGGGGGGGGTCAGGGAAGGGACCCCCATGCGTGTGAGGGTGTCACAAAAGGGGATGTGACCCCCCCCCCGTGTGACCCCCTCCCCAAAAAACACCAACCTGCACAGTGGGGGGGTCACAGAAGGGGACACCCGTGATGGATGTGACCCCTCTGTGCACCCCCTCCCCAAAAAACACCAACCTGCAGAGTGAGGGGGGGGTCACAAAGGTGGGGGGTCAAGAAGGGGGGGACACCCCCAGCATGGATCTGAGCCCCCCTGTACCCCCCAAAAACACCGCCCTGCACAGTGGGGGGGTCACAGAAGGGGGGGACACCCCCAGCATGGATGTGACCCCCCCTGTACCCCCCAAAAACACCGCCCTGCACAGTGGGGGGGTCACAGAAGGGGACACCCGTGATGGATGTGACCCCCCTGTGCACCCCCTCCCGAAAAACACCGACCTGCAGAGTGAGGGGGGGGTCACTGATGGGGACACCCATGATGGATGTGACACCCCATGTGCACCCCCTCCCCAAAAAACACCGACCTGCATAGTGAGGGGGGGGTCACTGATGGGGACACCCGTGATGGATGTGACCCCCCTGTGCACCCCCTCCCCAAAAACACCGACCTGCAGAGTGAGGGGGGGTCAGGGAAGGGGTCCCCCCGAGTGGGGGGGTCACAGAGGGGGGCTCAGGGAGTGGGGTGACCCCCCCGTGCCCCCCAGCACCACCACCCTGCACCGCTACGAGCTTCACCCCCTGGCCCCCCTCACCGCCAGCCCCGGCCCCGAGTTCAGCACCGCAGTCAAGGTGAGCAGATGAGGATGAGGATGGTGATGGTGATGATGATGATGGGCACGGGGGGGGGGGCAGCCCTGCTTCACCCCCCCCAAAAGATGGTGATGATGATGATGATGATGGGCACGGGGGGGGGGGCAGCCCTGCTTCACCCCCCCCCCCAAAAAAACCCCAATCCAGGTGCAGAATTTGGGGTGCTACCCCCTGGAGAACGTGACCCTGCACATGGCCCTGCCCGCGCTGGGCCACGCCGGGGCCACCATGCTGGCTGTCACCGAGGTGCTGCCTGACAACGTGAGTTTGGTTACACCGGGGGGACTTTTGGGGGTCCCCGTGTCCTCTGAGCCCCCCCCGTGCCCCCCCCAGGCCACCTGCAGGCTGCACCCCCCCGATAGAGGAGCCCCGGTGGTGCCGGTGCCCCCCGAGGAGATGCTGAGAACAGAGAGGCTGGTAGGGCTGGGGGGTCCCCAAAACTGCCAGGGGGTTTGGGGGGGCTCCCCGGTACTGGGATCATACTGGGATTGCCCCTGGGCACTGGGATTGCTCCCGGGTACTGGGATCATACTGGGATTACCCCCAAGCACTGGGATCGCTCCCGGGTACTGGGATCATACTGGGATCGCCCCTGGGCACTGGGGTCACACTGGGATTGCCCCCGGGCACTGGGATCAGCACCAGGATCACCCCTGGGCACTGGGATCTCCCCCTGGGCACTGGGGTCACACTGGGATCACCCCCAGACTTTGGGATCATCTCCAGACACTGGGATCACCCCCTGGGAACAGGGATCACACTAGGATTGCTCCTGGGCACTGGGATCAGCACCAGGATCACCCCTGGGCACTGGGATCACCCCCAGACCCAGGATCACCCCCAGACTTTGGGATCACACTGGGATCACCCCCGGGCACTGGGATCATCCCCGGGCACGGGGATCACTCCCAGACTTTGGGATCACCCCCTGGGCACTGGGATCACACTGGGATCACCCCTGGGCACCGGGGACACCCCTGGACCCCAGGATCACCCCTGGGCACTGGCATCACCCTGGGATCACCCCCAGACTTTGGGATCACCCCCTGGGCACCGGGATCACCCCCGGCACCAGGATCACCCCCAGACTTTGGGATCACCCCCTGGGCACTGGGATCACCCCCGGATCACCCCTGGCTCCTTCCAGATCCCGTTTTTCAAGGACTGCGGCGACGACGACGAGTGCGTCACCGACCTGGTGCTCAAGGCCACCACGGACATCGTGGGCTCCAGGTACCCCTGGTGTCCCCCCCGTGTCCTCGTGGTGTCCCTGGGACCCCAAGAGCCCCCCGTGACCCCCCTGGCCTCCAGGCAGAGCCCCTACATCCTGCGGAAGGGCCGGAGGAGGATGCTGGTGGAGGTGGAGCTGGAGAACCGGCAGGAGAACGCCTACAACGCCAGCCTGTGGCTGCACCTGCCTGGGAACCTCCACTTCTCCAGCCTCGTGCTCCAGGTACAGCCTGGGGGGAGCCCAAATCCCTGGGGAGCCCCACCAAGTGCCTAAGGAACCCCTCCAAAGTGTCTTCCCATTCCCATTCCCATTCCCATCCCTCCTCTCCCCCAGCTGGGATTCTTCTCCCACCCGAAGCCCTCCCGGGAGGAGGAGGAGGAGGAGGACGAAGAGCACTGAGGTGACAGCTCTGCTGGTGGCACGAGGACATCCCCGTGACCCTCTGGGCCCCGTCCCAAGGTTTGGGATGGGTGGAGGGACGAGGAGGAGACGCTGGAGCCCCCCGAGGATGGAGCAGGGGACAGCCGGGCGTGGGAGAAGTGGGAACGGCCTGGGATGGAGCAGCTCCAGCAATAAAGCTCCAGCCTGGGGAACTCTGGGAGCTGGAATGTTCCTTCATCCAGGGGGAAACCTGGAATGATCCCAGAGGGGACACAGAGGGAGGGGGGAGATGCAAACCCCAGCCCCGGCTCAAAGCCAGGTCAAAGCCAGGCTCAAATCCTGGTCAAATCCAGGTCAAAGCCAGGCTCAAAGCCAGGTCAAATCCTGGTCAAAGCCAGGTCAAAGCCAGGCTCAAAGCCAGGCTCAAATCCTGGTCAAAGCCAGGCTCAAATCCTGGTCAAAGCCAGGCTCAAATCCTGGTCAAATCCAGGTCAAAGCCAGGCTCAAATCCTGGTCAAATCCAGGCTCAAAGCCAGGTCAAAACCAGGCTCAAATCCTGGTCAAATCCAGGTCAAATCCAGGTCAAGTCCAGGTCAAAGCCAGGCTCAAATCCAGGTCAAAGCCAGGCTCAAATCCTGGTCAAAACCAGGTCAAAACCAGGTCAAAACCAGGCTCAAAACCAGGCTCAAAGCCAGGTCAAATCCAGGTCAAAACCAGGCTCAAATCCAGGTCAAAACCAGGTCAAATCCAGGCCAAATCCAGCCTCAAAACCAGCCTCAAATCCAGCCTCAAATCCAGGATTTTGAGGATCAGGAATCTTGGAATTCCTGATTTCCAGTAGGATGTGGAAGAGGGAAGAAGTGGAAGCAGGAAATGAGTGGGGGAAAGAAGTGAAAAAAGGAAAATTTCTGACCCCCCTCCAGAAATCCCCATCACCAGGGGAGCTGGAAATGCTGGAGAAGAGAAAAGCACTGGGATAAATTTATAAATCCAGCTGGATTTTCCTGATTTTGTAGATCCAGTCCTGTCCTAGGATTGGGGTGTCCCAGGGCAGGGAGGGAGGACAGGGACAAAGTGTCCAGGAGGTGTTGGGATCCCCTCCCTTGGGGACAAACTGAGCAAATCGGGGTTTTCCTTCCCAAAAAAGCTTTTTCTGAGCTCGTTTCTGCCCCCTCCCAAGCTCCTGCCCCCCTTTCCCAGCTCCAAGGATGATTTGGGAATGGGAATTCATTGAGAAAGGCCTTTATTGGACGGAAGAGCAAAGAAAAATCAGGAATTAAATCCACGTGGGTGTGGAACCACTGAGCCCAAGGGGTTTGGGAACGTGGGAGGGGGGTCACAATGTCCCCCCAAAGGGCAGCCAGTGGATCCCACGAGGATGAGGAAAATCCCAGGATTCAGACCTGGAAAAGTCACAGGAAATGGGAAACAAAACCCCCAAAACTTCTCAAAACAACCAAATAATCAGGAAAAAGAAAGAGTTTCCTTAAGTTATGGTGGGGGGAGTGGTCCAGAATTCCTGCCTGGAATGACTCGTGGGGGGGTTTGGACACACCTGGGGCCACAGGCAACGTGGAAAAGGGTCAGAAAAAACCCCAATCAACCCCAAAACCAGTCCAGGATGAGCCAAAATCCTGCTCAGAGCATTCCTGATACCACGGCGTCCCCAGAGCCTTTCCCGGGGACTCCTGAGGGTCCAACCCCCCCTAAGGAAGGCTTCCAGAACCTTCCTTCTCCCACCTGCCATGATTTCACAGACCCCCCAAGGATTCCATCCCAAAACGGGGCAATAAAAATCTCTCGTGGCTGCAATTCCAACCTCCTGGAGTGCAGGAAGATCCCAAAAATCCCCTTTTTTTACCCCAACCTTTTCCCAGAGAAGGCGACGAGGGGGGGGACTGGGAGCCCCTCTTTGGATCAAAAAACCAAACCCAAAAAAAAAAACCAACCAAACCTTTCCTGCTACAAAAAAATGAAACCAAATCACTCCCAAAAATCCCCCAATTTAGGGCTAACGAGGCAATTCCATGGAGCAGGAGGAGAAATTCCTGGGAGGAGAGCGCTCGGTGCCGCAATCCCACAGGGCGGGCCCCCAAATTCCTGCTACCCAAGGGGGGGGTTTGTTGGAATTCTCAATGGACACCTCGAGTCTGGGATGCCTCTGGAAGCTTCTGGAACGTTCCAGAACTTTTCAGGAGGGTCAGAAAGTCCATCTCTCCTGCACGGGGCTGTCGGAGGAGTCGGGGTTTGGGATTTGCCTGCTGGAATCTTCCCCCTTCAGGCTCTTCCTGCACACGGGACACGTGTCGTGCTGTGGGGAAACACAAAGTTTTTACCCCAAAATGCTGAGAATTTAAATTTTCTGTGCTGATCCAACAAGGAAATGTGATGTTTGAGCTGAAGGCGTGGAGAAAAATTCCAAATTTTTTTCATAACACTGAAGATCGGGGCGGAAAAATTCGAGTTTAAGGTTTGAGAATGCAGTAATTTATATTTATATTTAATATTTGTAAGGCAAAGCAGAAATTTTAGGACAATTAGTTTAGTTTTAGGAAGTTTTTCACTTTCTTCTTTATGAGTTTGAGTAGTTAGAAATAATTAATTAGAAATAATTAATTAGAAATAATGAATTAGAAAGAAATAATGAATTAGAAAAGTCTGCATTGTGGGCTTGGTTTTTCACCTTTGTAAGTTTGAATAGTTAGAAATAATTAATTAGTAAGGAATAATTAATTAGAAAAGTTTGCATTGCGGGCTTGGTTTTTCACCTTCTTCTTTGTAAGCTTGAGTAGTTAGAAATAATTAATTAGAAATAAATAATAAATTAGAAAAGTCTGCATTTTAACCTAGTTATTATGTTAAAAATAAAAATAATTGAAGTGTCAATTCTTAATTGGACAGTTTGGCCTTAAAAGACCCTAAAGAGAAAATTAGGGTTAGGCTTATTTTGTAGCTTGTTAATTGAATATTGCACAACTCATCATCCAATAAATGTATTACATTATATTACATTATATTACATTATATTACATTATATTAAGGCGTGGAGAAAAATTCCAAATTTTTTTCATAACACTGAAGATCGGGGCGGAAAAATTCGAGTTTAAGGTTTGGGAATGCAGTAATTTATATTTATATTTAATATTTGTAAGGCAAAGCAGAAATTTTAGGACAATTAGTTTAGTTTTAGGAAGTTTTTCACTTTCTTCTTTATGAGTTTGAGGAGTTGGAAATAATGAATTAGAAATAATTCATTAGAAATAATGAATTAGAAAGAAATAATGAATTAGAAAAGTCTGCATTGTGGGCTTGGTTTTTCACCTTTGTAAGTTTGAATAGTTAGAAATAATTAATTAGAAATAATTAATTAGTAAGGAATAATTAATTAGAAAAGTTTGCATTGCGGGCTTGGTTTTTCACCTTCTTCTTTGTAAGCTTGAGTAGTTAGAAATAATTAATTAGAAATAAATAATAAATTAGAAAAGTCTGCATTTTAACCTAGTTATTATGTTAAAAATAAAAATAATTGAAGTGTCAATTCTTAATTGGACAGTTTGGCCTTAAAAGACCCTAAAGAGAAAATTAGGGTTAGGCTTATTTTGTAGCTTGTTAATTGAATATTGCACAACTCATCATCCAATAAATGTATTACATTATATTACATTATATTACATTATATTACATTATATTATATTATATTATATTATATTATATTATATTATATTATATAATTCCTGACAGGGATCAAGGAATTCCTGACAGGGATCAAGGAATTCCTGACAGGGATCAAGGAATTCTGACAGGGACCAAGGAATTCCTGCCAGGATCCATCCATCCATCATCCATCCATCCAAAATCCTCTGGGAACATGAGCTCATCCAGGGATCAAGGGAATCCTGATAGGGATCAAGGGAATCCTGACAGGGATCAAGGAATTCCTGACAGGGATCAATCAAAGAATTCCTGCCAGGATCCATCCACACAAAATCCACGGGGGATGGAGCACCCAGGGATCAAGGAATTCCTGCCAGGGATCAAGGAATTCCTGCCCAGGGAATCAGGAAATCAAGGAATTCCTGCCATGATCCATCCACACAAAATCCACAGGGATCAAGGAACCCCTGAGCTCCTTTGGTGACCCCAGGGATCCTTGGACATTCCAGAATTCCACAATTTCTGGCCTCTCTGTGGGCTCAGCCACGTGGAACTCCAGCTGCTCCTTGGCTTCCCAGAAAAGAGGAGGACAGGAGGGTGTGGAAAACCACAGGATAAAAATATCCTGGGTGGAATTGTCTGCTTTGACCACAATGGAGGAGTTGGGTTCCGGGAGGGGAGGGATCCTGGGCTGAAAAATTCATGGGATTTTTGATTGCAAAGCCAGGATTGCTCTGAGACACCCCCAGGCAGATTTCCATGGCAATTCCAGAGCAGAGGGTGGGGAGAGCTGGTCGGAGAGGGAAGGAGGGGTTGAGAGCACAAACAGGGATTTGGGAGGGGAAAATCATTGTGGGGAGGGGGAAATCATCATTGGGAGGGGAAAAAAACATCATGGGAAAATCATGGGGACAGGAAAATCATCGTGGGGAGGGGGAAATCATTGTGGGGAGGGGAAAAAAAACATGGGGAGGGGAAAAAAACATAATAGGGATGGGAAAATCATCGTGGGGAGGGGAAAATCATCATGGGATGGGGGAAATCATAGTGGGGAGGGGAAAAAAAACATGGGGAGGGGAAAAAAAACATCATGGAGAGGGGAAATCATCATGAGAAGGGAAAAAAAAACATAATGGGGAGGGGAAAATCATTGTGGGGAGGGGAAAAAAATCATCATGGGGAGGGGGAAATCATCATGGGGAGGGGAAAGAAAACATCATGGGAAAATCATGGGGACAGGAAAATCATCGTGGGAAGGGGAAAATCATTGTAGGGAGGGGGAAATTATCCTCATGGGGAGGGGAAGAGTCAGAATGGCACATTTTAGGACTCCCCAAAGACTCTGGAGAACGGTGCAGGGTGTCAGAGAGAGCTCAGGGTGCCAAAGGGAGCTCAGGGTGACAAAGGGAGCTCAGGGTGCCAAGGAGGGACCTCAAGGTGACAAGGAGGGAGCTCAGGGTGCCAAGGAGGGACCTCAGGGTGCCAAACTGGACCCCAGTGCCCCGGCTGTGGGTTTGGCAGCCACCCACCGACTTGCTCCTGCGTCACGGGCACGGTGGGCAGCGAGGAGATCCTCTCCTTGTCTGCTGGGGGCGGCCCCGTGTTCTCCAGCTGTCCCAGGAGCTGTGCAGAGGACAATGCCAAAGGGAGAGCTCAGGGTGACAAAGGAGCTCAGGGTGTCAGTGGGAGCTCAGGGTGACAAAGGGACCTCAGGGTGACAAGGAGGGAACTCAGGGTGACAAGGAGGGAGCTCAGGGTGACAAAAGGAGCTCAGGGTGCCAAGGAGGGAGCTCAGGGTGACAAAAGGAGCTCAGGGTGACAAAGGGAGCTCAGGGTGCCAAGGAGGGACCTCAAGGTGACAAGGAGGGAGCTCAGGGTGCCAAGGAGGGACCTCAGGGTGCCAAACTGGACCCCAGTGCCCCGGCTGTGGGTTTGGCAGCCACCCACCGACTTGCTCCTGCGTCACGGGCACGGTGGGCAGCGAGGAGATCCTCTCCTTGTCTGCTGGGGGCGGCCCCGTGTTCTCCAGCTGTCCCAGGAGCTGTGCAGAGGACAATGCCACGCTCAGGAGGGGGCGGGTGCCCCTGGAGCTGCCCCCCTGGCACGGCTGCCCCTCACCTGGGTGACGATGGCGTCCAGGCCGCTCTGTCCCCACGCGTAATCGCCGGGGCTGGAGTGCAGCATCCCGCTCCTGCCAAGGGGAAATTCCCAAAAATTCCCAAAAATTCCCCAAATTCCCGGATTCCCAGAGCGGGCACGGCTCACTGGGGTGGGCTGGGGGGTGGTACCCACCAGGAGAAGGGGTGCTGGGAGCCAGGAATGGCGGAGTTGGCAAAAAAGCCGGCGAAGATCTGCTGGATTATCCTGGGGAACGAGGCAGGGGAGGAAAAAAAAGATGGAAAAAGGAGTTAAAGGAGGGAATAAATGGTGGGAGGGGAAAAAAAAGGGAAGGAAAAGCAGGAATTGCTGCTCTGGGGGTGAGTGGTTCATGCTGGGACAATCCCTGGGTGAATTCCAAGCAGGCAGAGTTGGACAATTCCCTTTTCCTGACCCGGGAGGGGTAACTGAGAGGGGTTGGCAAAAACTTTTATTCCAAAACTTTTATTTTGTTTTCAAAGGTGAAAGTGAGGCAATGGAAGGGTTGTAGTTCATGCCCATCACAATCAAAACCCAATTTCTAACTTCTAAATTTATTTCTAAAATCACTTCTAATTTCTGAATTTATTTCTAATTTACTTATTTATTTCTAAATTTATTTCTAATTTCTAAACTTATTCCTAATTTCTAAGCTTATTTCTAATTTCTAAACTTATTCCTAATTTCTAAACTTATTTATTTCTAAATTTATTTCTAATTTCTAAACTTACTCTTAATTTCTAAACTTATCCCTAATTTCTAAATTAATTTCTCATTTCTAAATTTACCCCTAAGCTCACTTGAATTTCTACATTTATTTTCAACTCCGCTCCCCTCCCACCAACACCTGCCCCACCCCACAACATTCCCAGCCCGACGTTTCTTACCCCAAATCTCCCCCTCAACCCCCCACCCCACAAACCTTTTAGTAAACCCCAAAAACCCCTTCCCAAACCCCAAAACCCCTTTCCAACCCCAATTTTCCCAAACCCCAAAAACCCCGTTCCAAAACCAGTTTTCCCAAACCCGGATTTTTTCCAAACCCCAAAACCCCCTTCCCAAACCCCAAACCCCCTCCCCAGCCCCCAAACCCCTTTCCCACCCCATTTCCCCGCTGCCCCCCGCCCCTCCGGCTCACCCCTCGATGGCGGGCGAGCGCTCGGGCCGGGAGCTGCCCCGTGCCCGGTACCTGCGGGCCACGGGCAGCCGTGGGGGGCGGCCGGGACCCCAAAGCTCGGCCGGGGGACCCCAAAGCTCGGCCGGGGGACCCCGCTCCACGTCCCTGCCCTCGGCGTCCAGGGAGGCGCCGCTCAGGAAGGGCCGGAAATCCGGGAAGAACATGGCGTGGTCCAGGTGGTCCCAGAGCTGTTAGAGGCGGGGTAATTAGCCGGTGTTAATTGGGTGGTTGGTCTGGTCTGTAATTAATTATTCACTCTGTTAATTGAGTGTCGCGGCGTGGCTGATGAAATTCTGTGATGTCGTTGGGAGGGGCTGCGGGCGGGGGGAGGAGCCAGGGGTTCCTACCTGGATACAATCTGAGGGTTGGGATATGGGGCAGCCTTTTCCTGAAGGAAATTCCCCTGGAATTCCAGAGGATCAGCCCTTTTCAAATGGATTCCCAGCCCTTTTCCCCCTGGAATTCCAGAGGATCAATCCTTTCCCCCTGGAATTCCAGAGGATCAGCCCTTTCCCACTGGAATCCCAAAGGATCAATCCTTTCCCCCTGGAATTCCAGAGGATCAGCCCTTTTCAAATGGATTCCCAGCCCTTTTCCCCCTGGAATTCCAGAGGATCAATCCTTTCCCCCTGGAATTCCAGAGGATCAGCCCTTTCCCACTGGAATCCCAAAGGATCAATCCTTTCCCCCTGGAATTCCAGAGGATCAGCCCTTTTCAAATGGATTCCCAGCCCTTTTCCCACTGGAATTCCAGAGGATCAGCCCTTTCCCCACTGGAATTCCAAAGGATCAACCCTTTTCCAACTGGATTTCCAGAGGATCAGCCCTTTCCTAGAAGATTTCAAGAGGATCAGCCCTTTTCCCACTGGATTCCCAGCCCTTTTCCCCCTGGAATTCCAGAGGATCAGCCCTTTGCCACTGGATTCCCAGCCCTTTTCCCCCTGGAATTCCAGAGGATCAGCCCTTTCCCACTGGAATTCCAGAGGATCAGCCCTTTCCAAATGGATTCCCAGCCCTTTTCCCCCTGGAATTCCAGAGGATCAGCCCTTTTCCCACTGGAATTCCAGAGGATCAGCTTTTTCTCCCTGGATTCCCAGCCCTTTTCCCCCTGGAATTCCAGATAATCAGCCCTTTTCCCACTGGATTCCCAGCCCTTTTCCCACTGGAATTCCAGAGGATCAGCCCTTTTCCCCCTGGAATTCCAGAGGATCAGCACTTTCCCACTGGATCCCCAAAGGATCAGCCCATAACCCCCTGGAATTCCAGAGGATCAATGCTTTTCCCATTAGATTTCCAGAGGATCAGCCCTTTTCCCCCTGGAATTCCAGATAATCAGCCCTTTTCCCACTGGATTCCCAGCCCTTTTCCCACTGGAATTCCAGAGGATCAGCCCTTTTCCCACTGGATTCCCACAGGATCAGCCCTTTTCCCACTGGATTCACAGTGGATCAGTTTTTCCCACTGGATTCCCACAGGATCAGCCCTTTTCCTACTGGAATTCCAGAGGATCAGCTTTTTCCCCCTGGATTCCCAGCCCTTTCCCCCTGGAATTCCAGAGGATCAGCCCTTTCCCCACTGGATTCTCAGCCCTTCCCCACTGGATCTCTCTGAAAGTCAGGAATTTCCGGGACACAAACTGATCTCCAAGCAATATTTTGGAGAAATGGACCCAGAAGAAGAGGGGGAGGGACCCAGGGATGCCTGGAGCAGGGAAGGAAGGATCCAGCTTGGAATTCCGACTGTTTGGTGACCCCATTTTTGGCTCAGGATTGAGTGGATTCCCTACAAATTCAGATTTTAAAATGGAAAAATTCTGGAAAATTTGGGAGCAGGGAGAGACTCCACACCTGGCTGAGCATCCCAAAAATTCCCAGGATCTGCCAGCACCAGGGCAAGGCTCTTCCCTGAATCCTCATCTTCCTCTCAAATGCCAATCTGGGGGAGAAAAACTCCCCCAAATCCTGGAAATTCTCAGGAAAAGAGGGAAAAAAAGGGAAAACTCACCTCTGAGAACTGAGAGGAGGGGCTGTCGTCCAGGGAATTGCTGTCAAAAAAACTGGGAAAAGGAGGAAAGTGAGGGCAGGGATTATTCCTAAAATTCCCCCTGAAATATCCCCAGAAAGGGTTAAAAAATAGAGGGAAAAAGGTTAAAAAAAATAGTAAAAGGTTTTTTTTTTCTTTCCATAAATATTAAAAAGGATAATTAAAAAAAAAAAAGAAAAAGGGGAAAAATTGATTAAAAATGTTAAAAAAGGGCAAACACAAAAAATAATGAAAAGGGATTTTTTTTCCCCTAAATATTAAAAATAGTAAGAAAAATATTAAAAAGGGGGAAAAAAGACCAAAAAAGTTTAAAAGAAAAAGGGCAAGGACCAAAAATAATGAAAAGGGATTTTTTCCCCTAAATACTAAAAAATACTAATAATTTTATTTTCTTTAGGAAAAAAAACCCACAGGTTTTTTAATTTCTAAATACTAAAAATGGTAAGAAAAAAATCAAGAAGGGAAAAAAAAACCCAAAAACGATAAAAATATCAAGAAGACAAAAAAAAGATTTTTTTTGTTGTTTTTGTAAAAGAAAAAAGAGGAAAAATAGATGAAAAAAAGAGCAAAAATAGCATTTTTCACATGGAATCTCCCTGTTATAAATGGAATATCCCTGGATTTTCTGGTACCTGGAATCATCAGTGACTTCCTCGATGAAGCCAGACTCGCAGCGAGGGCAGGTGTACTCCTGGGAAGACAAAAAGAGTGGAAATTAAACCCAAAAGCTTGGAAATTCTAAAGAAAAATCTTCCCCTTCAGGAAAATTCCTGATCCTAGATACCACAGAGCTCAAAACAACAGCAAAAAACCTGAAAAAAATCTGAAAAAAATCAGAAAAAATCTGAAAAAAAAATCAGAAAAAAATCAGAAAAAACCTGAAAAAAATCAGAAAAAAATCAGAAAAAAATCAGAAAAAAATCTGAAAAAAAATCAGAAAAAGTCTGAAAAAAATCAGAAAAAATCAGAAAAAAAATCAGAAAAAAATCAGAAAAAATCAGAAAAAATCAGAAAAAAATCTGAAAAAAATCTGAAAAAAATCTGAAAAAAGTCTGAAAAAAAATCTGAAAAAAATCTGAAAAAAATCTGAAAAAAAATCTGAAAAAAAATCAGAAAATCCCCTGAAATTTGGGCAGCAGACAGGAAAATTGAATGCAGAGGCCAGGAACAAAATTCCTTCCAAGAAGAAAAATCTTCCCTATTCCCATTCCCAGTTTTATCCCAGACTGAAGAAAAAAAAACCCCAAAAAAACCCCAAAAAAAGCTTCTCATGGATCTTCCCTCCCCACATCCCAGGAACTGGGAGCATCCAAGACTTTTTATTGCAATAATCCAAATTTTCAGCGTGCGTTTTGTGGCAGCTCCTCCCAATCCAAATCCTGGAGGAGACTTTTGAATTTTTGGATCATTTTTTTTTGGGGGTTGGATGAAATTTTCCCACCACCAGCAGCAGGTGGGTGCTGATGCATCCCTGGAAGCGTTGGGATATTTTTATTTTTGGACTATTTTTGCTGCTGGAGTCCATATGGAAAGTCTCAGCTTGGCACCCAGTAGCTGGAGAGAGATAAAAATGGAATTGGGGATAAAGAACTCTGCAGGGAGGGAAGGGAGCAGATGGCGGGTGGGATCCTGCAGATCCCTGGATTTTCCTTGGGACAATTCCCTGGATTTTCCTTGGGATCATTCCCTGGATTTTCCTTGGGATCATTCCCTGGATTTTCCTTGGGATCATTCCCTGGATTTTCCTTGGGATATTTCCCTGGATCATTCCCAGGAACTGGGAAAATTCCCTTCATTTTCACTGGGATAATTCCCTTGATTTTCCCCAGGATAATTCCGTGGATTTTCCCTGAGATATTTCCAGGGATTATTCCCAGGAATTGGGATAATTTTCTGGATTTTCCTTGGGATAATTCCCTGGATTTTCTCTGGGATAATTCCCTGGATTTTCCTTGGGATATACCCAGGACCTGGGATAATTCCCTGGATTTTCCCTGAGATATTTCCAGGGATTATTCTCAGGAATTGGGACAATTCCCTGGATTTTCCCCAGGATAACTCCCTGGATTATTCCCAGGAACTGCGATAATTCCCTTGATTTTCTCTGGGACAACTCCCTGGATTTTGCCCGGGATAATTCAGCAGAATGGACAATCCCCTCTCCACCGGCCGAGCAGAGCGGGACGGGAACGGAACGGGGGTTACGGAATGATCCCCTTCCATCGGGAACAGGACATTCCTCAGGGAATCTCCTGCTCCGTGTGGGAACAGCTCCGGGGGCTGCAGGTCCCCCTCCCTCAGGGGAGCCATTGGGGCATCACCCCTGCCCCCGCCCCGGGCCGCTCCCCCCGGCCCTCCCCGCTCGGGGCTGCCCCTCTCCGAGCCTCCCTTCCCGGGGCTCACCGGCAGCTTGGGGCTGACCTCGCCCTTGCAGCTGTGGCAAAAGAACCGGTGCTGCTGCACCGCCGCCGCCTCCGCCATCTTCCCTCAGCGCCGCCGCTGCCGTCACTCCTCCCGGAGCAGCGAGCGCGGCGCAGAGCGGCGCCGCGCTTCCGGCGAACTCGTCTGCTCCGCGCCCATTCTACAAAGCGCGGGCGGGCGGGATAGAGCGGCCCCAGCGGGGCGCGCCGCGGCGTGGCGCCCCCTGGTGGGAGCCTCCCATTGGCAGCCTAGCCGCGCCGGGTGGCGGCAGCGGAAGTGACGCAACAGGAAGTGGAGGCGGCGCGGGGCCGTTGTCATGGCGGCGGTGATGGCGGCCTAGGCCGCGCCGGGCGCTGAGGGCGGCGGGGAGCACCGGGAGCGCCGGGACAGGGTGCAGGAGCCCTGCGGCAGGATCAGCCGCTGTCCCCCCTCTCGCTCTCCATCCAGCCGCTCGTTCTCCCGCCCCTCCCGCTCCTCCCCGGCCGTTGCGGCGCCGCCGCCATGACCCAGGCCGAGCTGCGGCTCTGCTCGCTCCTGCTGCGGGAGCACTTCGGGGAGATCGTGGAGAAAGTGGGGAGCTCGCTGCTGCGCACCGGGCCGCGGCCGCTGCGGCTGCTGGTGGGGGACACGGGGCTGCTCCCGGACCAGGTACGGGGCACCCGGAGGAGGGGATTTGGGTGTGGAAATGAGCTCGTGGTGGCTGGAATTAATGGGGAATGGTTGGAGGTTAATGTGGGGTGTGAGTTAATTTGAAATTAATAGGGGTTTGTTCCCATTAGAAGGGACGGGGTTATTCCCATAATTCCCATGAAAAGGGCTGGGGGAATTCCCATAATTCCCATTAACAGGGACAGGTTTATTCCCATTAACAGGGATGAGTTATTAATTCCCATTAAAAGGGCTGGGGGAATTCCCATTAAAAGGCACGGGGTTATTCCCATCAACAGGCACAGGGTAATTCCCATTATGAATTCCCATTATTCCCATTAACAGGGACAGGTTTATTCCCATTAACAGGGATGAGTTATTAATTCCCATTAAAAGGGCTGGGGGAATTCCCATTATTCCCATGAAAAGGGTGAGGGTAATTCCCATTAACAGGGCTGGGGTAATTCCCATTATTCCCATTATTCCCATTAAAATGGATGGGGTAATTCCCATTATTCCCATTAAAAGTGTCAGGGTACTTCCCATTAAAAGGCATGGGTTTGTTCCCATTATTCCCATTAAAAGTGTCAGGGTAATTCCCATTAACAGGGATGGGTTATTAATTCCCATTATTCCCATTAAAAGGGCTGGGGGAATTCCCATTAAAAAACACGGGGTAATTCCCATTATTCCCATGAAAAGTGTGAGGGTAATTCCCATTAACAGGGCTGGGGTAATTCCCATTATTCCCATGAAAAGTGTCAGGGTAATTCCCATTAACAGGGCTGGAGTTATTCCCATTAAAAGGCATGGGTTTGTTCCCATCATTCCCATTCAAAGGCATGGGGTTATTCCCATTATTCCCATGAACACTCACAGCGTTACTCCCACTACAAGTCCCCACTTTATTTTATTATTTTACTATTTTTTCCCCCCCTTGCCAAGCCTCATCCCTCCCGTGTCCCACAGGTGAAGAAGGCCCTGTGTGTGCTGCTGCAGCACGGCCTGGATTAATGAATCATTTAATTATTTAATTATTTAATTGTCTATTTTATTGTTTTATTATTATTTATTTTATTCCCCCGTGCCCGGTAGGTGAAGAAGGCTCTCTGTGTGCTGATCCAGCACGGCCTTTATTGTTTTATTATTATTTATTTTATTCCCCCGTGCCCGGTAGGTGAAGAAGGCTCTCTGTGTGCTGATCCAGCACGGCCTGGATTCATGAATCAATTTCTCATTTAATTATTTATCTATTTTATTGTTTTATTATTTATTTTATTCCCCCGTGTCCCACAGGTGAAGAAGGCTCTGTGTGTGCTGCTGCAGCACGGCCTGGATTAATGTACCATTTAATTATTTAATTATTTAATTATTAATTTTATTGTTTTATTATTATTTATTTTATTCCCCCGTGTCTGGCAGGTGAAGAAGGCTCTGTGTGTGCTGCTGCAGCACGGCCTGGCGCGTTTCCAGGCGCAGCCGCGCGGCCCCGTGGAGTACGAGGCGCAGGGCCCGCGCGTGCTGCGCCTGCTGCGCCGCCCGCGCTACATCTACACGGCCAAGGCGCTCTACGGGGACCCGGGCGAGCTGCTGGTGGAGGAGCTGCTGCTGCACGGGCAACTGTCCATGAGCTCCGTGGTGGCCAGGGTGGCTGAGCGCCTCAGCGACACCATGGAAGGTGGGAAGGAAGCTCCTCACTCAAAAAAATGGGATTTGGGAACAATGGATGGGATCAGAGGTACCATAGGATGTTCTTTGAGGGATCCAAGAGATCTTTATGGTGACCCCAGGGAGCTGCTGGTGGAGGAGCTGCTGCTGCACGGGCAACTGTCCATGAGCTCCGTGGTGGCCAGGGTGGCTGAGCGCCTCAGCGACACCATGGAAGGTGGGAAAACAAAGGTTCTCCCTCAAAAAAATGGGATTTGGGAATGGTGGATGGGATCAGAGGTACCATAGGGTGTTCTTTGGAGGACCCAGGAGAGGTTTATGGTGACCCCAGGGAGCTGCTGGTGGAGGAGCTGCTGCTCCATGGGTGTCTGTCCATGAGCTCCGCCGTGGCCAGGGTGGCTGAGCGCCTCAGCGACACCATGGAAGGTGGGAAAACAAAGGTTCTCCCTCAAAAAAATGGGATTTGGGAACGATGGATGGGATCAGAGATGGTGTAGGGTGTTCCTTGAGGGATCCAGAGGAGCTGTTGTGGTCCACGGGCAACTTCTCATGAGCTGATCGCCTCATTGAGACCATGGAAGGTGGGAAGGAAGCTCAAAAAAATGGGATTTGGGAATGGTGGATGATGGATGGGATCAGAGGTACCATAGAGGGTTCTGTAGGAGAGCTCTTGGTGGAGGAACTTCTGCTCCATGGGCAACTTCCCATGAGCTATGTAGTGGCTAAGGTGGCTGACCACCTCACTGCGACCATGGAAGGTGGGAAAACAAAGGTTCTCCCTCAAAAAAATGGGATTTGGGAGTGGTGGGTGGGATCAGAGATGGTGTAGGGTGTTCCTTGAGGGATCCAGAGGAGCTGTTGTGGTCCATGGGCAACTTCCCATGAGCTCTGTGGTGGCCAGGGTGGCTGACTGCCTCACCAAGACCACGGAAGGTGGGGAGGAAGCTCCTTCCTCCCCAAAAAATGGGATTTGGGAGCAGGATTAGCGTGTGAACGGGACCAGAGACACTGTAGGGTGTCCACAGCCAGGCTGTAGCAGTGGCCATGGTGTCACTGTGTTCTCCTGAGCCTCAGGAGCATCCAGGATCTGCTCTTGGACGTGCTCATGGAGGGTTGGAAGCTTCTGGAAAACCGGGGATTGATTTGTGTGTGGGAATGTGATCCCACAGACTCTGTGGGGTGCTGGTGGCAGTGAGGACAGCACGCTGAGCGCCTCAGCGACACCATGGAAGGTGGGAAAACAAAGGTTCTCCCTCAAAAAAATGGGATTTGGGAACGATGGATGGGATCAGAGATGGTGTAGGGTGTTCCTTGAGGGATCCAGAGGAGCTGTTGTGGTCCACAGGAACCTTCCCATGAGCTCTGTGGTGGCCAGGGTGGCTGACTGCCTCACCAAGACCACGGAAGGTGGGGAGGAAGCTCCTTCCTCCCCAAAAAAATGGGATTTGGGAGCAGGATTAGCGTGTGAACGGGACAGAGACACTGTAGGGTGTCCACAGCCAGGCTGTAGCGGTGGCCACGGTGTCACTGTGTTCTCCTGAGCCTCAGGAGCATCCAGGATCTGCTCTTGGACGTGCTCATGGAGGGTTGGAAGCTTCTGGAAAACCAGGGATTGATTTGGGTCCCAAAGGCTCTGTGGGTGCTGGTGGCAGTGAGGACAGCACGGCCATGTTCTCCAGAACCTCAGGAACATCCAGGATCTGCTCTTGGATGTGATTTGTGTGTGGGAATGGCTCTGTGGGTGCTGGTGGCAGTGAGGACAGCACGGCCACCTTCTCCTGAACCTCAGGAACATCCAGGATCTGCTCTTGGATGTGATTTGTGTGTGGGAATGTGATCCCACAGACTCTGTGGGGTGCTGGTGGCAGTGAGGACAGCACGGCCACGTTCTCCAGAACCTCAGGAGCATCCAGGACCTACTCTTGGATGTGCTCATGGAGGGTTGGCAGCTTCTTAAAAACCAGGGATTGATTTGGGTCCCAAAGGCTCTGTGGGTGCTGGTGGCAGTGAGGACAGCACGGCCATGTTCTCCAGAACCTCAGGAACATCCAGGATCTGCTCTTGGACCTGCCCATGGAGAGCATGGAGGGTGGGAAGCTTCTGGAAAACCAGGGATTGATTTGTGTGTGGGAATGGCTCTGTGGGTGCTGGTGGCAGTGAGGACAGCACGACCACCTTCTCCAGAACCTCATGACCACCTCAGATCCCACCCGTGGTGTCTCTCCCCCCTCCTAGACGGGAAGACCATGGATTACGCGGAGGTGTCCAACACCTTCGTGCGCCTGGCAGACACCCACTTCATCCAGAGGTGCCCCGCGGCCCCCGAGGTGCCCCAGAACGCCAAGGTGCCGCCGGCCCCGGCCCTGGCCATCGCTGACAAGGACATGTACGTGGTGCCACGCATCGGCCTCGCGGGTGAGACCCCGAACTCCTGGGATCCTGGCCTGGGAAATTGGGGTTTTGGGGGATTTGGACTGGTGGGGTTAAGTAGGAGTTGTTGATTTGTGTTACGTGCAAGTTAAATTTTAAATGAAAAAAAAAAGTTTTAAAATTATAATATAGTTTTTAAAAATTATTCTTAAGTTATTTAAAGGCATAATTTAATGTAATAAGTATAATTTAATTTAAAAAGTTTAAAAATTAATTTTAAATGATTTAAAATCACAATTAAATTTTTTGAAATTATTTAAAATTATCTATATGTATATAATATATATGGGTAATTTACATATAATTCACATATAATTCACATATAATTCTCATATAATTAATTCACATATAATTTACATATAGTTTACACACTTATAACGTATGGTTTACATATAGTTTACATATAAATCACATAATGTACATATACTTTACATATGGTTTACATATAATCTACATACAATGTGCATATATATTTTACATATGGTTTACATATAATTTACATATGATGTACATATATTTTTACATATAATTTGCATGTAATGGACATATACTTTACATATGGCTTACATATAATCTGAATATAATCTACACACAATTTACACATAATGTGTGTATAATTTACATATAATTTACATGTGGTTTGCATATAACCTGCATATAATTTACATATAATTTACATAGAGGGTACACATATTTTACATACAGCTTACATACACAATTTACAGCTAATTACATATAATTTGCATCTAATGGACATATACTTTATATATGGCTTACATATAATCTGAATATAATCTACACACAATTTACACATAATGTGTGTATAATTTACATATAATTTACATGTGGTTTGCATATAACCTGCATATAATTTACATATAGGGTGCACATATTTTACATGCAGCTTACATACACAATTTACAGCTAATTTACATATAATCTACATGTAATTTACATGTGGTTTATTTTGGGGGGTTACCAGGGAAAGGGAAGAGGCGACACTCGTGCGACGAGGAAGAGGAGGGAGAGCACAAAGCCAAAAGGCAGAAGCAGGAGGGAGGAAGCTCCGAGGTACTGCCAGGGCTGGTGGTGCCCTCCTGGCAAGGGTGGCACCCACATGCCCAAAATCTCCTGGGGAAACCATGGGGGCATTTTTTGTGGTGTTTTCCTCATTTTTCTGGCTCCCATGCCTCAGTTTTGTGCCCATTTTTCCTCTTTTCGTGGCTCTTTTTTTCTCATTTTTCATGGCGTTTTCCTCATTTCTTGTGGTTTTTCCCTCATTTTTCCTGGCTCTTTTCCCTCATTTTCTGTAGCTCTTTAACCTCATTTCTTGTATCTCTTTTTCCTCATTTTCCTCAATACTTTTTCATAATTTTTTGGCTTTTTCCTCATTTTCTGAGGCTCTTTTTCCTCATTTTCTTGGCTCCCATGCCTCACTTTTGTGTCTGCTCTTCCTTAGCTTCCTGCCCATTTCCCTCACTTTTCCTGCCCATTTCCCTCCCTTTTCCTGCCCCTTTCCCCCTTTTCCTGCCCCTTTCCCACTTTTCCTGCCCCTTTCCCCCTTTTCCTGCCCATTTCCCTCCCGTTTTGTCCTTTTCCCCAGGCTCCCCCAGATGATGGCATTTACTGGCAGGTGAACCTGGAGCGTTTCCACCAGCACTTCCGTGACCAGGCTGTGGTCAGCGCCGTGGCCAGCCGCATGGACCAGGTCTGGGCCTGCACTCTGCAGCTCTTCCCATCCAATTCCAGCTTTTCCCACCCTAATTCCTGCTTTTCCCACTCCAATTCCTGCTTTTCCCACTCCAATTCCTGCTTTTCCCACTCCAATTCCAGCTTTTCCCATCCTAATCCCAGCCTTCCCACTCCAATTCCAGCTTTTCCCTCCTTCCCCTCTCCAACCCCATCCTTCCCACCCCAATCCCAGTTTTTCTTTCTCCTTTTCCCTCTCCTTTACCCCCTCCCAGCCCATCCTGCCCTCACCTGCCCCCCAGTCCCAGTCCCCCCCAGTCCCAGTTTCCAATCCCAGTTTCCCCCCTGCAGACCAGCAGCGAGGTGGTGCGGACGATGCTGCGCATGAGCGAGGTGACCACGGCCTCGGGGGCCCCCCACACCCAGCCCCTCTCCTCCAACGAGGTGGGTCCTGCCAGCCCCTGGCATCCTTTCTGCCTTGGAGGGTGCTCCACGTGTGGGGCCAGGCGTGGCTCCCTTTGCTCAGAAGGATGATTTATTATGTTATATATTAAAATTTTTGCTCAGAAGGATGATTTATTAGGTTATATATTAAAATTTTTGCTCAGAAGGATGATTGATTAGGTTATATATTAAAATTTTTGCTCAGAAGGATGATTAATTGGGTTATATATTAAAATTTTTGATCAGAAGGATGATTAATTAGGTTATATATTAAAATGCTGCATTAAAACTGTAGTAAATGAACAGAGAGAGAGGATGAGCAGAAGGCTACAAAGGACAAGAATGGGATGGAATGGGATGGAATGCGATGGAATGCGATGGGATGGAATAGAAAACGAATGGAATGGAATGGAATGGAATAGAAAACTAATGGAATAGAATGGAATGGAATAGAATAGAAAATAGGATAGAATAGAAAATAGAAGAGAATGGAATGGAATAGAATGGAATGGAATAGAATAGAATAGAATAGAAAATAGAATAGGATAGAATAGAATAGAAAATAGAATATAATAGAAAATAGGATAGAAAAAAATAGAAAATAGGATAGAATAGAATAGGATAGAATAGAATAGAAAATAGAACAGAATAGAATAGAAAATTGAATGGAATAGAATAGAAATAGAATAGAATAGAGAACAGAATTAGAATAGAATAGAGAATGGAATAGATTGGAATAGAATAGAACAGAAAATAGAATAGAATAGAATGGAATGGAATGGAATAGAAAACTAATGGAATGGAATGGAATAGAGTGGAATGGGATGCACAACAACATCCTGTGCCTGCTCCCAGGCTCGGCACAGGGGCTGGGACTGGTCACCAGTTAAAACAACCCCAGGGCCCAGGGGAGGATGCCCCTGCTGCACCCCCCAGCAGCACTCAGTTATTGGTTTTATTGTTCCCATTTCCTTCCCGAGGCTCTCATTCCTCAGGACGGGGAAATCCTGAGAAAGGATTTCTCATAAAGCATCGTGGCTGCAATCCTTTGCAATCCCTGGTTTCATCTTGGTTTTTTTAGATTTTCAGGTCTCTTCCAGCCGGGTACAACATCGGGAAGCAGGTGCTGGATCAGTACCTGGCGCTGCTGGCCGACGACCCGGTGAGCTTCTCCTGCCCCTGCTCGTTCCTTTCCTCCCTTGTTCCTCCCTCTGGGGCTAAAACATTTTCACTGAGAGTTTCAGGAAGGGTTTTAACAGATACTTGAGGGTTTTTAAAGTTATTGGACAGATATCAGAGATACTGAAATTATTTATCAGGTATTAAATAATATTCCGTATTCTGTTTTACTGATATTTAAAGTTATTGAACAGATACCAAAGATATTGAAATTATCAGTTATTAAATAATATTCTGTATTTATTTTACTGACATTGAAGATATTTAACAGATATCAAAGATACTGAAATTATTCATCAGGTATTAAATAATATTCTGTATTTATTTTACTGACATTGAAGATATTTAACAGGTGCTGAAGGTTTTTAAATCAATAAAGATATTGAACAGATATTGAAATTATTTATCAGGTATTAAATAATATTCCGTATTTATTTTACTGATATTTAAAGTTACTGAACAGATATCAGAGATATTGAAATTATTTATCAGTATTAAATAGTATTCTGTATTTATTTTACTGACATTTAAAGTATTTAATAGGTGCTGAAATAATTTAAGAATACTTGAGTTATTTAAATTGTAATATATAAAGTTATAAGTTATAATTTTAAGTTATAAATTTAAAACTTGTCATTATAAGTTAAAGATATTTTTTCCTTGAAATCTTCTTGCTCCTCCCACTCCAAACCTGAAGTAAAAATCTCTATTTTCTCCCTGCAGTTGGAGTTTGTGGGGAAGTCGGGGGACAGTGGAGGGGGCACCTACACTGTCAGTATCCTTTGGGGGATTTGGGGCAGATTTTGGGTTTTTTTGGGTGATTTTGGGGTTTTTTTGGGTGATTTTGGGGTTTTTTGGGTGATTTTCAGGGGGATTTCTTGGTGATTTGGGGGATTTTGGGGCTGAATTTGGGGGATATTTTGTGGGGAATTAGGAGGATTTTGAGGGGATTTGGGGTGGAATTTTGGGATAGGGATTTTGGGCAGATTTTGGGGTTTTTGGGGTAATTTTGGGTTTTTTTGGGTGATTTTCAGGGGGATTTATTGGTAATTTGGGGGATTTTGGGAGTGAATTTGGGGGATATGTTGTGGGGAATTAGGAGGATTTTGAGGGGATTTGGAGTGGAATTTTGGGGTAGGGATTTTGGGCGCATTTTGGGGGGTTTTGGGTAATTTTGGGGTTTTTTGGGTGATTTGGGGGTTTTTTGGGTGATTTTGGGGTTTTTTGGGTGATTTTCAGGGGGATTTCTTGGTGATTTGGGGGATTTTGGGGCTGAATTTGGGGGATATTTTGTGGGGAATTAGGAGGATTTTGAGGGGATTTGGAGTGGAATTTTGGGGTAGGGATTTTGGGCGCATTTTGGGGGGTTTTGGGTAATTTTGGGGTTTTTTGGGTGATTTTCAGGGGGATTTCTTGGTGATTTTCAGGGTGAATTTGGGGGATATTTTGTGGGGAATTAGGAGGATTTTGGGATGATTTGGGGTGGAATTTTGGGTAATTTTGGGGTTTTTTGAGTGATTTTCAGGGGGATTTATTGGGGGTCTTTTGGGTGATTTTCAGGGGATATTTTGTAGGGAATTAGGAGGATTTTGGGATGATTTGGGGTGGAATTTTGGGGTATGGATTCTGGGCAGATTTGGCACGACTTTGCTCGATTCTTGGGTGCATTTTTGCAGATTTCTCCTTGACCTCAACTCCTCCAGACCTGCACAAGGCCCTGGTGTCCCTGGCCACGGCCACGCTGGAGTCCATCGTGGAGGAGAGGTGACCAAGGGCTCCTAGAGCCTCCTCCTGGGGTCCCCCCAGCCCCTTCCACCCCCTGATGCCAGCCCTGGTGCCCAGGTTTGGCTCCCGCTGTGCCCGGATCTTCCGGCTGCTCCTGCGCAAGAAGCACCTGGAGCAGAAGCAGGTGGAGGACTTTGCCATGATCCCAGCCAAGGAGGCCAAGGACATGCTCTACAGGCTGCTCTCGGAGAACCTGGTCACCCTGCAGGTGAGGGGTGCCACGGATTGCCCAGGTGATGGGCACTTGCAGGGGATGCCAGCTGGAATTTGGGCACAGGGAACCATTTGGGAAGGAGGCACAGGTTCCTGTCTGGGAGGGTTTGGTTCCCATTTGGTTCCCACCATCCCTGTGCCCTTCCACAGGAGGTAATTCCCAGCTCTGGGATGTCACAGATTGCCCAGGTGACGGGCACTTGCTGGTGATGCCAGCTGGAATTTGGGCACAGGGAGCCATTTGGGAAGGTTCATTTGGTTCCCACCATCCCTGTGCCCTTCCACAGGAGGTGATTCCCAGCTCTGGGATGTCACAGATTGCCCAGGTGACGGGCACTTGCTGGTGATGCCAGCTGGAATTTGGGCACAGGGAACTGTTTGGGAAGGGGATACTTGCATTTTGGCTTCCACCATCCCTGTGCCCTTCCCAGTTCTGGGATGCCAGAGATTGCCCAGGTGTGGCAGCTGCCCAGGTGACGGGCACTTGCTGGTGATGCCAGCTGGAATTTGGGCACAGGGAGCCATTTGGGAAGGTTCATTTGGTTCCCACCATCCCTGTGCCCTTCCACAGGAGGTGATTCCCAGCTCTGGGATGCCACAGACTGCCCAGGTGACGGGCACTTGCAGGTGATCCCAGCTGAAATCTGGGCACAGGGAACCATTCAGGAAGGGAGCACAGGCTCTCTCTGCTCGGTTTGGTTCCCATTTGGCTCCCACCATCCCTGTGCCCTCCCACAGGAGATCCCCAAGACTCCAGACCACGCTCCGTCGCGCACCTTTGCTTCCAGGGGAGATGATTCCCAGCTCTGGGATGCCACAGATTGCCCAAGTGATGGGCAATTGCAGGTGATGCCAGCTGGAATTTGGGCACAGGGAACTGTTTGGGAAGGGGATACTTCCATTTTGGCTTCCACCATCCCTCTGCCCTTCCCAGCTCTGGGATGCCAGAGATTGCCCAGGTGTGGCAGCTGCCCAGGTGATGGGCACTTCCAGGTGGTGCCAGCTGGAATTTGGGCACAGGGAGCCATTTGGGAAGGTTCATTTGGTTCCCACCATCCCTGTGCCCTTCCACAGGAGGTGATTCCCAGCTCTGGGATGCCACAGACTGCCCAGGTGACGGGCACTTGCAGGTGATCCCAGCTGAAATCTGGGCACAGGGAACCATTCAGGAAGGAGGCACAGGTTCCTCTCTGGGATGCCAGAGATTGCCCAGGTGTGGCAGCTGCCCAGGTGATGGGCACTTCCAGGTGGTGCCAGCTGGAATTTGGGCACAGGGAACCGTTTGGGAAGGGAGCACAGGTTCCTCTCTGGGATGCCAGAGATTGCCCAGGTGACGGGCACTTGCAGGTGATGCCAGCTGGAATCTGGGCACAGGGAACCATTCAGGAAGGGAGCACAGGCTGGGGGACCTTGGTGGGGGGCTGCCCGTCACTGTCTGTGACGGAGAATCACAGAATAATGAATCACAGAATAATGAATCACAGAATAATGAGGTTGGAAGAGACCTCTAAGATCATCAAGAGAAGGAAGACTCGTTCACCAGATGATGATCTACAAGTCTCGTCTTTATTCCCGAATCACCAATTATTATACACCCTTTAATTAGCTCATGCATAGTGCAGAATCCCAGCTCACCATTGGCTAATTAGTTATCAGCTGTCCACGTGCTGTGTTGGTGCAGCTATCACTACTTTCCCAAGCTGTTTGGCTTTACCACCTGGTTTTGTGCATTACTTCATCCCATGGGCCAAGGACACACAATTGCAGCCCCGTGTGCAGGAATTCCCAGGGAATGCAGGAATTGCAGCCCCGTGCAGGTGTCACAGCCCTGGTGCACAAAGCTTGTGAGTCTGACACAGCTGGACTTTGCTTGGTTATTTTTATTATATAATAATAAACCATGTCCCCAAACAATCTTTGATTAAATAGAAACAACTCCCATGGACCAACCAACATGGTATGCAGCTATCACTACTTTCCCAAGCTGTTTGGCTTTACCACCTGGTTTTGTGCATTACTTCATCCCATGGGCCAAGGACACACAGTTTAATTGGAATGGCAACTCCCCTCATTCTCTATCTCGGTCCAATTAACCCCACTGTGACCTTGAGCTCGGAGCCAGCTTGTTACAAAGCTCCCAACATGTCTGTGCCCCCAGGATCGACGCCAGTGAGAACCAGGTGGATGAGACCATCTTTGTGCTGGAGTCGTTCATCGAGAGCACCATGAGGAGGCCGTGAGAGGAGAGGAGAGGAGAGGAGAGGAGCAGCGGGGACAGTCGGCGCAGTTTGTCCCCAGATGCCTCCACCCACAGTGCTTGTACTACTGAGGAGAATAAAGGAACACTTGTGACTGCAGTTGTGTGTCAGGTCCCTGATGTCAGTTTGCCTCTGGCCCTTGTGAGCTGAGGCTGGTTCCAGGGAAAAAGCTGTGAAGGAGAATAAAGGAACACTTGTGACTGCAGTTGTGTGTCAGGTCCCTGATGTCAGTTTGCCTCTGGCCCTTGTGGGCTGAGGCTGGTTCCAAGGAAAAAGCTGTGAAGGAAGGCATGTTGTGGCAGTTCTGTGTTCCCCTTGGGATGCCCTTTGCAGCTCACTGTGCCTGGAGCTCTGGGATTTTAGGTTTTCAGAACCCTAACCCTAGCCCTAGGTGTGACCCTAACCCTAACTCTAACCCTGGGCAGTAAAAGCAGCCTTGGGCTGAGTCTGCTTCCAGGGAAGAAGCCTTGAAGGAAGGCATGTTGTGGCAGTTCTGTGTTCCCCTTTGCAGCTCTCTGTGCCTGGAGCTCTGGGATTTGTGGTTTTCAGAACCCTGTGGACCAGCCAGCCACAGAGCACCGACAGCAGCCCTTTCCTGCACAAAACAAAACTCCCCAGGCCAAATTCCTGCTGTCAGTTTGCAGGAGGCACTCGGCACTGTCAAAGCAGCAGAGTTGCTGCTGGTGGCACCGTGGGTCAGGGAGGAATCCTGATCCGTTTGGAATTTCAGCCAGCACCAGCCACTCCGGCCCCTGGACACAACCTCTGGCCTTTTCCCTGGGAAATAAAACTCACCCCTGAATTTCCTGGCTGTCCTTGAAGTGGAGCATTGGGCAGTAAAACTCCATCTGTGCTGCTGGTTGCTGCTCACCTTGATGTCGTTCCTGGTTGTACTCCTCCTAGAAAGAAAAATCAAGAGAAAATCCAGAAATTACAGCAGCACCTTGACCCCCCTGAGCTCCCAACCTGAAATCCTGAACTCAGATAGTGCCTGTGCTCAATTCTGGGTGCTTTACAATATTTCCCATGGCAGTTTTTCTTTATTCACCTAAACGCACCTGCTGAAACAATGGTCAGAACTACTGAAAAAGCCTTTTTTTTCTGAAATTAGAGGAGTGTTTTTATCTTAGTAGATCCCCAAGGTCAAGCTGGCATTAATATACCCCGGATGGTGCCCACCTCTCATTCCCGTGACCCCTAAAAAAGGGGAGGGGGCAAATCCCACCCTCAGAGCAGCTGCTTCACTCCTCTGCCTTCAATTCAAGAGGATTGATGTGGGAGAAAACTCCTCAGAGGAATGAAAATGTTTGATTTTTTTTTTACTACAGCTACTTGGAGCAAAAGAAAACTGGTAAGAAATAAAACTTTTTGTTTAGGCAGGATATCTAGGTAAGTTGGGTAATTTGCTGTTAATTTACATAATTATTCCTTAGTCACTACTAAGTAGTACTCCACATATGATTAGAATATTCATGATATTAATGGTCTTGGACCTCTAATTAGAGCTATCTAATCATGGTTGGGTAATTTGCTGTTAATTTACATAATTATTCCTTAGTCACTACTAAGTAGTACTCCACATATGATTAGAATATTCATGATATTAATGGTCTTGGACCTCTAATTAGAGCTATCTAATTAATAAATAAATAAGGGAAAGAATAAGCTCCCAGGCAGCAGAAGGGTTAAGAACATGCCAGGCTCACCCTTCTCTGAGATATTTGGTCCTGGGGCACAGAAAAAGTGCCCAGAAATGGAATTTTAAAGCCTTAAAACGCTGAGAAAGGCAGAGCTTCCTTCAAGTGAACCTCTTAAAAAAATGAGGAAATGGGGCAGTGACCTCCATGGAAACTGATACAATGGCAAAGAAATTCTAACTAGGGCTAAATAGGAAGCCCTTAAAATACCCTAAAAAAAAATTTAGAAGCTCTGAAAGTATCCTAAACATTCCTAGAAAATTCTTTAAAAACTCCCACACAAAAAAAACCAAAAAAACAAAAACAAAAACAAACAAAAAAACCCCACAAAAACAAAAAAACCCCAAACCCCCCCCCAAAAAAAAAAAACACCAAAACAAAAACCAAAAAAAAACCAAAAAAACCCCTAAAATATCCTTTAAAAGCCCTGAAAAAAAGAAACTTTAAACACTGCTCAGCCCCCAACACCTTCCTGTAACTCTCTGCCCCACAATCATCATCCCTGCCTCTTAATTAGGGTAATTGGGGTCATTCCCTGCAGCTCCTGGGGGGCTCCGGGGCTGTCCCACCCTCAGGGGCGCTGCCTTGTGCTGCTTTTGGGGAAAATTGGGTTTTTTTGGGGTGCTGCACCTGGCCCCTGACCCTAAGGGGACACACGGGGACAGGCAGTAAGAAAATAAAAAAAAAAAATATTTTATTTAAAAATAAAAAATTTTTATTAACAAATAAAAATTGCGTGCGAGCTGGGGGGATGCTGGGGTCGGGATTTTGATGGGTTTAGGGGGATTTTGGGGGGATTTTTATGGGATTTTGATGGGTTTAGGGGGATTTTGGGGGGATCTGGAGGGATTTTGATGGGTTTAGGGGGATTTTTATGGGATTTGGAGGGATTTTGATGGGTTTGGGGGGATTTTTATGGGATTTTGATGGGTTTAGGGGCATTTTGGGGAGATTTGGAGGGATTTTGATGGGTTTAGGGGCATTTTGGGGGGACTTGGAGGGATTTTGATGGGTTTAGGGACATTTTGGGGGGACTTGGAGGGATTTTGATGGGTTTAGGGGCATTTTGGGGGGATTTTTATGGGATTTTGATGGGTTTAGGGGGATTTTG